AACTACTCTCTCTATACACAAATAGTTAACGACCGCACATTCCCCATGAATTATGCAGGTGTATAGCAAAATATTACTTCAAAACAAAGTACGCTCACATGTCTTTCCTGGACCCCGAGCTAGTCAACGAGAGAACATGCGAGAGGCATGCATGGAAATAAAGTAGAAGATCTAACGGAGACACTGACTGCCATTTTTGAAAATTTCAAGATGAGTAATAAAACCGAAATACTTCTAGCCTACAACTGCGAGTAAGTATTCTCTATTCTAATTTTTATGCTTGTTTTTTTATAGTTATGATTATTCGTTAACTAGGGTTTTGTGATTGTAGCAACTATTTTGTCTTCATTGTTGTCGATATTAAAAAAAATCGTATCAAGGTGTGGGACTCGAAGATAAAGCCACTTTCTTTGCTCAATCCTCTAGTCGAAGTGCTTAATGCGTAAGCAAACCTAATAACATATTATTTTCTAATTGCACATAGCATATTCTAATGTTGCCCCTTTTTCACACTTTATAATATGGTACAGTGTCCGGTCAACAATGGTTGGTGGGATGAAGGTCCCGTTCCAGGTTGCACGAATACAATTGGAGACCCTAGACCAGCCGGTGGGAAACAATGAATGCGGGTTCTACGTAATGTGGGCAATGCTTTGCCACCCCGGCGTAAAATCAGAGGCGGCAAATGCTTTGGTGTGTATAATCCCCATTTCATTTATATCTGTTAATTCAACAAACCATCTACTTATTTCTCTAATATTTCTGCCTTTCGAAACCGGTTTTTTGAATGACAGCGCAAGAAATTTAAACATAATAGGCTGTTAGAAATGGAGATCATAGCACTGTCATCGGAGCTAGCAGCCTTCATCGTATCAGAGTGCTTGGAAAAAATGAACATTCTCCATTGCACAGTCCGTGAAGTACAAGGCGCAGTACGGGCTAGAGCGGCTCGCCAGACTATTGTAATTTGTTTTTTATTTCAAGGGATCGAGAGCTTCATAAGTATATTTGAACTGTAACCATAACATTTGTAATGTTTAATATTGATGGACCTATCGTCTACATAGCGAATATAAAGCGAAACCCGATTTCATCAATAAAATAAAATAAAATAAATTATAAAAGAGATCACTGTTGGTTAGCACATAACTGGCAGGGATTGTAAAGATGGCACTGTCGGTTCATGGCACGAGCCGACAATGTTGGTTGAGCCATCACTGTCGGCTTAGAAATCTAAACTGACAGTGTTGCTGAAGATAACACTGTCGGTTTGAGCCACCAGTCGACAATGATGGCTCGACCAACACAGCCGGCTTGAGCCATGAACCGACAGTGATAGCTTGCTCAACACTGCCAGCTTGAAGACACAAGCCGACAGTGTAGGCTTGCTCAGCAGTGCCGGCTTGAGCCAAGAACCGACACTCTTAAAGCAACCATCACTGTCGGTTAGGTCTATAAACCGGCAGTGTTGTTCAACTGGACACTGCCCGGTGGAGCCAGAAACCGACGCTGTTGCCTGTAGATCAATATCGGTTCTTAGGAACCGACAGTGATGTCAACCCCATCACTGCTAGTATGCCACTGTCGGTTCAAAATCCGACAGTGAAGGGGTTTTTGAACTGACAGTGATGGCCTGATCTGGGATTGCGTGAGAAGCTAACAATGAAACACTAATGTCAACACTATAGATTTTCCACTGTACTGGATCAAAATCCGGTAGTGCAAGCTAGTTTTGAGGCGACAATGATTGCTAGATTTTGGACAGTGGTTCCTATTTTGAGAAATACCATTGAAATACAGATGCAAAAGTCAATCAAAATTATAGATGTATAAAGGATGCAGTGATCTATATATGTTCATAGAAGATTTAAGATTCGAGAAGGTTTTTTGTAATAAGGAGGAAAAAGGACAAAAATCAACATTCACTCGACCTGGAATGGTTGCAGATGTAGACGAAAGTACGAGTCCAGTTATGTGCTGATATTATCTTCTTATTGTTTCGCTTTAATTTTCTTTTTGAATTTGAAATTCTGCATGATGAGCATAGATCATTGCATCATTTATCCATTATATTTTTCGTTCATGTTTCATGCACATTTTGGTTGTTGAAATGGGAGTAAGAGCATGCGATAGCTTGGCAGCATAGGATACACTCTCTCCATCAAATACAATATGTTACATTCACCTATAGAGGCAGTACTTAGTTTAAACAAGTTAATATTGAAAGTTTTGCTTTCCTAAAGGGCTAGTGCACGGACGTCCGGATGGACAGCACGATCGGACAGCTCCCGAACCTCCTGTATCACGCGCCTACGGAAAAAAGGCTCACTCACCCACGCCGCGGGGATCACCCGAGCCTGCTCCGCTTTGACACGCCTGCATGCACACATAGCAGCATCAGCACCAGCAGGTGGCATGCACGTAGCACTAGCAAACAGCATAGTGACCCACACACAACAACAACAACAACAACAACATATGTACATTTTGAAACATGTGTGACAAGTGGTGCATCTTCAGCCTCTCTGACACATCCGCAGATGATTTCAGAATTCATCAGATCACTTTGCAAGCGTGGATCATTGTAATCTTCAAGTGAGACAAGGATGGTTCTTTGAGAGTACTTCGCCTAGCACCCACATCCGCATGCACACATAGCAAGCAGACAGAATTGGTCTTCACCAAGCATAAGCGGCATGGTCACGCGCCTGCATATATGCATGTCGCATCAGGCGGTGCAGTGACCCACGCAGCAGCAAGCAGTATACTTTTGAAACATACGATGACCCACGGTGACCCTGTAGCAGCAGTAGTGCCACACAATTGCAACATGTGCTCTTCCGAGATCTACTTTTCAACCATCCAAATAAAATATTTGTAACAAACCTCTGAAACACATGAAACATGTGCTTGAAACATGCGTGTATAGCCATAGCAACATATACAACATCCAGATCTACTTTTGCAACATCCATATGAAACACTTGCAACATAAGTCCGAAACACTTGAAACATACGTTTATAGCCATAGGAACATATGCAACATCCACATGAAAACACTTGAAACGTACGTCCAAAACACTTGAAACACTTGAAATATAGTCTTGCAACATGCATATATTGTCATTGCAACATCTCAAATATACTTTTGCAATATTCAGATGAAACACATGAAACATAAGTTTGAAACACCTGAAACACGACGTTGTTGGCGGCCACGACCTACATGGTGGGGAGAACTGCGGTAGTCAGCAGGCTCGGGTCAAGGCGATGTCGCTCCACACGCTCGCGCCCGTTGGCGTGGCCTGTCGCTCCTGCGATTCTCCCACGCATGCTCGCGGCCCAGGCTTGCGCCCAATGGCGTGGCCTACTGTTGCTACTCTAGCGCCGCTGCTCACTCGGCCGTAATCATTCAGCGTTGTCCGCTCGTTGGAGATGGGGTGTGGCGCATCCGGTGTTGGGGGAAGGCGCCCCAGCAGGACCCCCGCCTAACACTTGGCCTCTCTCGATCTTGTGCTGCCACTTCACCTGCGTGCTAGCACCTTCGCCGTCAGAGGTTTCCTTCCCATTTCCTCTTCCAGGTACTTGCGGAGAGACCGAGTCGGAGGTAACAGAAGATGTGGAGAACCCAAAGCCAGCAGAAGGACGGGGAACCCTTGCCTGGTGCGGCGAAGGTTGGAAGCGGAGCTAATTGTAAGGCCGGCGACGACGCCGTTAGGGTTTGGAGTAGTTGGCTAAGAGTACAGGGATTTACGCTTGTGCCCTCGGGTGTTGTATTGGCATAGCAAGGCATCGAATAACCCTTGTGTAATTTCACTAGGCCCCATGGGTGTGGCCTATAAATACCCGGGGTAATGTTGTTTGTATAGAGTTAACTTGGCAATTTAATAGGCAATTAATCCGTATTTATTCTTACGCTTCCCCTCGAGATACCCTCGCTAGCATTTCACCGCTTCACTGTGGGAAATCCTCGGCCTCCCCCAGCCTAGTCCCTAGCGAGGGTGGGAGACTAGGAGTGATCCCACAGCCGGCGATGGGGTGGGGCGTGGTGGGGGGAAGGGCATGATGCCACTTCACTGGCATGATGGCGCCGAGAGGCAGGCGTGGTGGTGGAAGAAGGGGGAAACCCAAAGCCAGCGGATGAGCACCACGCACAATGCCTCACGCCACGCGCTGCCACCCACGCTTGCAGCCAAAACCCTTGTGTAATTTCACTAGGCTCCATGGCTAGCGCCAGCCCGTAGCAGGGCGAAATCAGCAGTGTCCGGGGTGCCTCTCAGGTGGCTCGGCCTCGGCACTCGGGGCGACAACATTCGCGGTTGAAGTCGGAGGCAGAATCTTGCGTCGTAGCCCCGGGGATGGACGAGTCACTCCTGACGAGTGGACGAGGAGTGAGAATTTTTTGTTTTTAGGAGATGGAGCCTAGTTCTATGCAGGTCTGGGAGCCGCGTCCGGACGTGGGTCACGGGATGGACGCCCGTGCCATATCATTATGGTTTACTGAAGACGCCAATAGATGCTGGGCCGGCGAGTCGAGCACTCCTATCTCCGCCGGGTTTTTTTCGTTTTCCGAAGACCGAACAGTCTGTGGATCGTGTAGAGCGCCAAACGCCCATGGGCTACGACATAACGGCGAGCAGCCGAGCAGGACACGCCACGGTACTCAGCCTAGTAGTAATGATCGTGACTAATAAAAGCCTTCCTTTATAAAAAAAACACCTAGCATCGCTGTTTTTTCCATCAAAAAAGCGCCGGATGGGAGCTCCATCTCAGCCACGAGAAATTTCCAGCCTCTCCGGCTCTGATCTCTTTATCCACGTGGCGCCCTCCCACTGGCCAGCTCACCACCACGGTACCACCTGTCCACCTCCTCATCCGGTCATCCCCCCGCGGTGCGGCCCCCTCGGCCCCTCCCTGTGCCAGTGCCTCGTCGCTCCGTAAACCCCGCGCCTCCGTCTCCCCGACGCTCGCCGGAGGCCGCCGCCCGCCACCGTTATGCCATGGCCGTCATCCTCTCCTCCGCGGCGCCAACGACACTGACTACTACTCCCGCGCGACCCCGGAGGCAGCCGAGGAGCGGCCTCCGCGGGGGCCTCGCGGCGCGCCTTTCCGGCGCGCTCGGCCTCGCGCACGCGGGCGCCGGCGCCGCACTCGCCGCGCCGCTCTCCTACGAGGAGGCGCTTCGCCTCTCGTCCGACTCCGGCGGTGACGGGGCCGGGTTCGCGCTCCCGGACCTCAACCTCGACCTCGACGGGCTCGTCGACTTCGTCAACGAGAACCCTCTCGTCGTCGCGGCAGGCGTCGCGGCCGTCGCGCTGCCGCTGCTCCTCGCGCAGGTTCTCGGCGGCGGCGGCAGCTCCAAGCCATACGCCGTCGTGTCCGCCAGGGCGGCCTACCAGCGGCTGCTCGAGGAGCCCGACGCGCAGCTCGTCGACATCAGGCCGCTCAAGGATGCACGGGAGGCCGGCACGCCTGATCTCAAGGATGCCAAGAAGAAGGCGGCTGCCGTGCCGTACAACGGGGAGGACAAGAAAGGATTCTTGAAGAAGCTGACACTGAGGTTGAAGGACCTGGAGAACACCACGCTGGTCATCCTTGACAAGTGAGATCTCAGATCCTGGTTAACAACTGCAATGTGCTTGGCCGTTCTGTGTAGATAGTTCTAACTGTTCCCCAGTTGGATTCATTAATTCCCTATCACAATTTAAGGAACCAATTTTGCAGCATTTCATTCAAAACAGCATGCCAAGGAATAGCTACGGTGTTAAATCCTCAGCATCGTCACTTCTGATTAGTCTATGGTAATGAGTCCATATCGATTTTAAAGAACCAATTCTGCAGAGTAGGTACTTGCACTCTTGGCGTGTCAAAATTTCAAAAGTTAAATTAACTTGAAATTTGGTCTGTTTTCACTTCTTTTTGGGGATCAAAGATTGTCGTCACAAATCCTCCTAATTATGAAAATTTTGACTGTCACGGAATCAGCAGATAGTTGATTTTTCTTAACCATTATAAAATTATTTTGCTGATAGAGCAATGCAAAAGAAAGTTATTAGTGAAAACCAGAAATGATGCTTCAAACCTGGAAAGCTGAACAGTTCTCATGTACAGAGTACTTTGCAAATGTAGTAAGTATTCTAGATATGACTTGAACAAACTGATTTGTTGGATTGGGATTATAGCAAGTAAATAGTTACTGCAGTTGTATATCACTTAAAGAGTGGACATGTGAATTACATGGAGAGTTAATAATTAGATACCTGTCCTTGAAAAGACCAGCGAGGTGTTATATTCAGAATTTGTGATACCTCTGTCTCAAGAAGAAGACTGAGCTTGTATTTTCATATTAAATTGTGAGTACTTGTTGGCTTGTCATTCTTCCATCACTAGTATAGTGTCACAATATTTTCTGAACATTTATATGAATATTGTGGAAGTCAGATTTGATGGGAACTCTGGACTAGTTGCTGAGCTTGTCACAGCCAATGGTTACAAAGCTGCTTTTGCAGTGAAGGATGGTGCAGAAGGAAGCCGAGGATGGAAGGTATTTGATGCTTTAGGTGGCTTGTGTTTGCTGCTGTATGACATCTTTATCCACTCAACAAAGTTTCACCATTTGCTAGTGTCCCACTGCAGAGCAGTAACCTTCCCTGGAAGGCTCCTGCAAAAGGATTCAGTTTTGATTTGGGCGAGCTATTTGGGGTAAGTTAGCATCTTGACCTTTTTTTTTCTTTACTCTGTTTGAAATTATATTTGTACAAATTATAAGGTTTCAATGCATTGATTTTGGTAACTTTTATTTTTGTGACTGTTGAATGCTGAATCTACTAAGTAAACTTACAGGACGGTTCAGATGGTTTGCCTGTGACAATTGGTCTCGCTGCAGCTACTGGTTTGGGAGTACTTGCCTACACAGAGGTAAGTCTTGGAGTGTCTCTTTTCTTCAGGTGTTGCTTTGTTTCCTTACACATCATGTGTGATCTATCCTGCAGATTGAGACTTTGCTACAGTTTTTGGGGTCAGCTGCTGTTGTTCAGCTAGTGGTAACCAAGCTCTTGTATGCCGAGGTACATATTTATTTCCTCTCTTCTCTTGTTCAGCTTACTTCCCCAGCCAGACTTCAGTGGATCTGTTCTTAAAGCTAAGTCAGGGGATGTTCTTCCTCCCTGATTGAGGTTTGAATAGAAGATTACTTTCAATCATGAAACCTTACATCTATTTATTATGCTCACAGGATCGACAGAAGACACTTAAACAGATCGATGAGCTCTTGAACAAGAAGGTTGCTCCAAAGGAGCTTGTTGACGAAATAAAGGTAGCTAGCCATCATCTTGAGCAGTTATTGTTAAATATTGAAATGTTATATTGTTCACATCGATCCATGTTCACTTCTCCAAGAGTGTATGGCTATGGATAAATGAGTTATCTGAAGATTGCTAGTACCATTTTTTGTGGATTATGTACTCTTATGGTCGAATGACTTTATAGTAATGAGAATTTGAAGTGCCTATCTGTGCTGCAGACCTTGGTTGCCTGTTGATAGATTTGAAATGCATGGCCACTGGGTTACACTGAACACTTGTGGCTGCATATCTAGTTTTATCCAGCACCGCTATAGTCCCTTTCTCAGATAGGAATTTTTATTGATGATTTGCACTAATTTTGCTTAATGTTGTGTTTAGACCCATGGCATTTGTTTCATTGTTAAAAATATTTTATCTCACCGCTTTGTTCGAAGAGAAAATCCATGTTTTTCCTGAAGTACAAGAAAATAATGATCACTTAAATTTGTCAATACTTTGGAGCTTTCTTACAAACAAAGTAAAACCTATTCAAAGGTTCCTTCTTTATTTCGAGCTATGTGATATTTTGTAATATATTGTTTGGCCAAATGTGATGTATCACTATTGGTACTGAGCAATATGTATATGGTGTAACTAAAATGGTCTTTATATGGCATTGAACATTTTCCCATATAATAATTTGTAATCTTTCCATGAATTGTTTTCCTATATGTAGTATTAATAATTGGCAGTGCTCATAGACACTGCACATAGAGAAGATGTGCAAAAGGCTATTAAGGAAAAGAAGGAGTGCTATAAGCGCTTGTATCATGACATGTGTGCAGACAACATAGAGAAGTACAAGGTGGCAAAGAAGACTGCAAAACGAGCGGTGAGTGAGGCAAAGGGGCGGGTCTATGAGGACCTTTACCAACGTTTGAGTATGAAGGAAGGAGAGAAGGACATTTATAGGATGGTTAGGGCTCGCGATAGGAAGACAAGGGACTTCCACCAAGTCAAGTGCATTAAGGATGAGAGGGAGTAGCTCTTGGTGAAGGAGGATGAGATCAGACATAGATGGCAAGAGTATTTTGATAAATTGTTCAATGGTGAGAACGAGAACACCGTTCAGCTGGACGACTCGTTTGATGACACTAATATGCGCTTTGTGTGGAGGATTCAAGAATCGAAGGTCAGAGAAGCCTTGAAAAGGATGAAAGGGGGCCAAGCGATGGGCCCTGATGGTATCCCCATCAAGGTGTGGAGATGTCTCGGGGATATTTTTCGATTGAATAAGATGCTTGAGGAGTGGATAAGAAGCATGTTGGAACCAATCTATAAGAACAAGGAAGATATTCAAAGTTGTACTAATTATCGGGGAATTAAGTTGATGAGCCACACTATGAAGCTATGGGAGAGTCATTGAGCAGCGCCTGCGAGAAACGACGTAGATATCAATAAACCAATTTGGTTTCATGCCCGGAAGGTTAACCAGAGAAGTAATCTTCTTAAAAGACAAGTTATGGAGCGGTTTAGAGAGCAGAAGAAGAACCTCAACATAGTTTTCATTAACTTGTAGAAGGTTTATGACAAGATACCAAGAAATGTTGGGCTTTGGACAAACATAAAGTCCCATAAAAGTAAGTGACCCTCATCAAGGATATGTACAACAATGTTGTGACTAGTATTCGAACAAACGATGGTAACACATATTACTTGCCGATTAAAATTGGACTTCATCAAGGGTCAACCTTAAGTCCGTATCTCTTTGCCTTGGTAATGGATGAGGTTACCAGGAATATATAAGGGGATATCCCTTGGTGTATGTTGTTCGCTGATGATGTAGTGTTAGTGGACGAAAGACAGGCGGTAGTAAATAGGAAACTAGAGTTATGGCGGTAGACCCTTGAGTCTAAAGGTTTTAAATTGAGCAGAACTAAAACCGAGTACATGAGATGCGACTTTGGCGGAGCTGCACAGGAGGAGGGAGATATGAGTTTGGAAGGTCAAGTAGTGTCTAAGAAGGATACTTTTCGGTATCTGGGATCAATGCTATAGATGGATGGAGATATTGATGCGGACGTTAGCCATAGAATCAAAACAGGGTGGATCAAGTGGCGATAAGTTTCTAGCATTCTCTGTGACAAGAGGGTATTACAAAAGCTAAAAGGCAAGTTTTATAGAACGACGATTAGACCGGCTATGTTGTATGGAGCACAATATTGGCCTACAAAGATTCGACATGTTCAACAACTAAGTGTTGCAGAAATACGTATGTTGCGATGGATTTGTGGTCATACAAGAATGGACCGAGTTTGGAACGATAATATACGTGATCGTCTAGGGGTAGCACCAATTGAAGAAAAGTTTGTCCAACATCGATTGAGGTGATTTGGCCATGTCCAAAGGAGACCTCCAGCGGCACCAGTGCATTATGGAGTCCTAAGCCAAGCTAATAGTATGAGGAGAGATAGAGGAAGATCAAAATTGACATGGAGAGACAATAAAAAGATATTTGAAAGCTTGTAATATACCTAGAGATCTATGTTTGAATAGAGTACTTAGAAAGCAGCTATTGAAGTGCCTGAACCGTGACTTAGGGCTCTTGGTGGGTTTCAACTCTAGCCTACCCCAACTTGCTTGGGACTGAAAGGTTATGTTGTTGTTATTGCTGCTGCTGCTCTAGACACTGCACATACATTTCTTGTGAAATTACTAAAATATTGCCAGGAAACTCCAGTGGCAATGGAACTGTTACTGGTGAAATTCAATTAGAATTATTGTTTCTGAAGTGCCTTCCTTCTGGAGTTGAGCCAGCCAACATTGTTTTCCATAGAAAACGGTTTTTGAATATGTCATGCCAAATATTTATGGTTTACAAAATTCCTTTGTTCCATCTACAGGAAATTGGGCAGGCTCTACTACCTTTACCTGGTGATGCTAAAAGCCAACCAGCACCAGCAACAGCGACTCCAGTTGCTGCCACACCAACAAAAGCTGCTCCTGCTGCTGCCACACCAATACCTCTTTCACCTTATACAAATGTCAGTGTAAACCTGATACTTTATAGCCATTGCACAAGTGAGCCTGAATGCCCATGCCATGCTCATTACTCTGCAATTGGAATTCCATGCAGTACCCAGATCTCAAACCGCCGTCACCCCCTGGCAGCACTGTGACTGAAGGCCCAGCAGCGGTCAATTCTGCACCTGTAGCAGACGCTAGCACGGAATCATCTCCTCCTCCTCCTACCCCCAGACCTCAGTCACCTTACCCTAATGTGAGTGTAAACTGAAACTTCTTAGCCATCTGTGTAAAAACACCATTTGCATTAAGCTATGCTCATCATTCTTCGATCTGTGTGCAGTATCCAGATTTCAAACCACCGTCCTCGCCTGCGCCGTCACCATCTTAATTAGGCAAGAGTACAAGAAACCGGGTCTAGAGGATATTTAAGAAGTTGAGTTGTTCATATGGAGCCGGCATCTCACCAAAGGTGTATGTTGTACTATGAGCCTGACAGTGTGTCTATTAGTCACTGTGGCAAGTTTTCTGCAGCAGTAAATGTATATGATGTAATTTCCAGTGATCATCAATGTGCTCTGATTTTTCTTTTTGTTGTCTTATTTTTGATACATGTAAATGTCGAATTACTAGTCGTGAGAAATGAGAGTTCGAGCCTACAGAGCTTGATATGTTTGACCAAAGTAAATGTGTTTTCAAAAAACAGGACAGTCGAGTGCTTACTTGTTATATCTTCTATAAAAAGCTCACTTAGTGTGAGGATCTTCTATGCAATAATTTAGTACGCATTAACTGTGTGCTAGATATTGTAATGCACAGATAGCCTTCCGCTTTATTTTATGAGAATTTTTACTACAGTTGCAGGAAAATGAACGGCTCACGAGGAGCGATCTAATGGAAAGGTAGAGGCACTAATTGGAGAGGCATTGAAAGGCACTGGGTGCGTATTAAATGGTGGGACTATAGGCACCACACGCTTACTAAATTGGTGTGATCAGCACCTGGAAAAAAGGTGCGATAATACTATTTTTAATTTTTTATAGTGTTTTGAGTAGTATTAGTATATGGATGATTGAAGTAGTATAGTCTGTTTGTGATAATTTTATTTTTGAATTTTTTTTTGTTGCTAAGGTAGAATGGTAAATCTATAATAGAAAAATAATATTTTGAGTAGTATAAGGACGATTGAAGTAGTATAGTTCTATTTTCAAAAAAAAATTATGTAATTATGGGTAGGAATGTAGATGGTAAATCTATAATAGAAAAATAGTGTTTTGTGTAGCATAGGGATGATTGAAGTAGCAAGTTTGTTTGTGATAACTCTATTTTTGAATTTTTTGTGTAAGTAAGGGTAGAGTGATAAATCTATAATAGAAAAAAATATTTTGAGTAGTCTAGGAACGATTGAAGTAGCATGACTCTCAGTCTCTCCGTTCTTGGTTCTCTCTGTGCTGCGGCGGCCGGCGGCGTTGAGGACGAGGGCAGCGGCGGTTCTGCGAAGGCGAGGGCAGGGCTGCGGCGGCCAGGGCACGCGATCCCTCCTCACCTGTTCCCGGCGAACGGCGGCACCGCGTAGATCCAGCGAAGGCGATGGAGGAGGTGAGATCCGGGTCGGACCCCTCCTCCCCGACCCCTCTTCCAACGTCGTCATGCGCGTCGAGCTCCGCAGCGGAGCCGTTGGGTGCGGGGAGGCGCCTGTGCTGCCCTCAGTCGCGGCCGAGGACCAGCCCGCAGCGCCCGACGCCGCGGGACGGGCGTGCGCCACGCTCGCCGACGCCCCTGCGGCGCCTCTCAGCGTGCTGCTCCAGGATGTTGCCAGTGTACTACTCCCAGTACATGCCTTCGCCTCGGTGAGGAATCCGCAGCTTCTCGTCCTGACTCACCAAGTAAAATTTGCCTTCCGTTGCGCGGTGGATTGACAAGTGTTTGATCATTGATACGTAGGGAACATAGGAACGTGATTCGAGTTAAGAAGTCTAGGTTGTTTACAAATCTGAATTTGTCGAACGTGCTGTACCCGATATTGATGGTTCAGTTTAATGTCTAGAAATGGATGTATATGGCTTTCGGGCGCTGAACTACTGAAGTGATTTTGGATGCAAATGAGGTATACACAGCAAATCAAAGCAATTAAAGTTCTTGATAGACTAAATGGTCCGTACTCCTGCAAACTGTAAATTGCTAGAGTTCTCATTTTAAAGTTGTTTCAATATGTTGAACCTGTTAGCTATTTGTCATCCGAACCGTACGACCTTCTTCCAATGCTTGAACTAAGTTAACATGTTTCTATTCTTTCATTGGTTTCAGAAATGGGAGTGACCCCTGTGCTCTTTGAGCAACCAGTTCACAGAAACCGGATTGGGACGATCTCCGAGATGTTAACTCTGTGGCCATGGAGAATTACAAATTCGCTGTTGCTGCTGATGAAAGCTGTTGGAGTTTACTTGATGCTCAGAAAATAATAAATGGGAATCTTGCCCATGTTATTATTAACATCAAGCTCGCAAAGGGTTCTTGGGGCCCTTGAAATAATTGATGCTGCAAAAAAAGCCAATGTTAGCTCTCTAACATATATGAAGAAGGTATAGAGTTACTATAAGATTTTGACGAGAGCTAAGTAATGTTGGTGTGGGGGGTACGACCCCGGATACCCATGGTAAACTACATTGGCTATGCTGCCAGGGGCGGTCCAGCCTACAAGACGAATACCTATGGTGCACGGCACTGCTTGAGGTGTACCACAAGGCATCAAGGGCGATATCCTGAAGATGCTACGAGATATATTAGAATACGTTCGATCCCATGATTCCTGTAATCTATTATTACTTTCCGGTTATCTTTTAAATCTAACCGACTTGTAACCCTGTCTCATAGATTATATAAGGCGGGCAGGGCCCCCCTCAAAACATACGTAATATCATACGATAACCAATATAAACCAATAGACCACAGAAGTAGGATATTACGTCGTACTGATGGCTCGTACCTATCTAACTCTTATGTCTCTATTGCCTTCTTATTTTTGATTACGCGCACCTCTGCCGATCAATCTACCTTCGTGGGAAACCCCTCGGAGGACTGCCGATCATCTTTTGTCGACAGTTGACGCGCCAGGTAGGGGTGTGCGTGCTGTTTCCATGACGAACAAGATGGTATATTTTGCAGGCTCTTCGTCCTCCCCAAAGCCCGGCCAGATTTTTACGATCGGATCGATCTCCTGGGTCATCAATGCTTACGGAGACGGAGAGATCAACGAGTCGGTGCAAATCGATTCTGCGCCGACCACACCAGCACCTGCAACAGCAGATCCGATCTCGAAACCGCCTCCGAGGTAGTTTTCACCAACAACTCGCCGCCTGCTCCCCCGCTACCCGAGGAAGCAGATCGACAACGATGATCTGATCGCATTCATCGATCAGGTTGGCTAGAAGCTCGCCGACTGCCTCTCCATCGCAGAATCAGCTCGGACCACTTTGGTTCAGCGCCGACCACCCTTCGATTCCGATCTATCGGAGGCTGATCGGGAAACTCTAGGGGTTACGGCCACCATCCATCAAGGTGCCCTAAGGGGCAAATTCGCCGACTAGGTGGGAGACATCTATCCTCACGCCGACCAGATCGCCGACCAGCTCACGCCGACTGTCAATATGCTGCAAATCGGCCGACGTCCCAAAGCAGTCCTCCACACCATCCTAGAGGAAATCCAGACTCCGAGTCCCAGGGCTCTACGGAGACTGTCGCTGAAACTGCCGCCGTCCAACCTTCTTTCCCACCCTTCCGTGGAGGTGGGATTTTTAATGTCAGCGTCGACAGCCCTCCACGGGACGGAGAAACCGATGAGGACCGCGTAGCTCGCGTCAACAGAAACACCAACCGTGTGCAGCGTCGAGCAAATAAGGCCGCCATTGTGTTAGCCGAGGCTGCTCACAGTGGAGAACAGCTCGACTCGCAAGGGAGGCCATGCCCACTCCGCCACAACCTCGACGACGAATTCATCCGCGTCGACGGCCACGATGTCTACAAGACCCTAGGCGCCAACTTGGTCGTGGCCGCTAATGAGCTCGCTCGGCTTGAACAAGCGCCAGAGGTCGCCAAGGTCGCCGCAATGCATAAAGCTACGCACTGCCAGGTCAACGAGATCTGCCAGGATTAGGGACCTTCCTACTCGACAAGCTCAAATCATCGATCTACCGCGCCAAGATCCAATCGCCACCCCGGCAGAAGCTATTTCGCCGACCAGTATCGTGACGATGGACAACCCCTCCAGGGGGGAGCTAGGGGGAACCATATCAACTACCCTCAGAAAACATGACCAAGACGTGGATCAAGATGTCCAAGCACACATCAACAACCTCCGGGATGCGCGACGTCATATCGACGGGCGTCGTTTCTCTCACCATGAGGAGGAAGTACGTCGGCGTCAAGAATATGAGCAAGAGTTCGGTAATCTGGATGCAACCCTCTAGCCACTTAACGCCAGCAACGCTGCAGATCCCGACGGTGATGATCCTGAGGGGCCCCGAGCATTCATGAAAGCACTCCGAACACTCCAGTGGCCCTGCGTGGTTTCAAAATCACCGGGGTCGAGCCCTACAAGGGGTGGATGAATCCCACACAGTGGCTACAAGCTTATGCCACCACCGTGCATGCTGCTGGGGGAGATACCAGTGTCATGGTGAACTATCTTCACGTCATGCTTACACCAAGCACGATGAACTAGCTCACGAGCCTCGCCCCGGATTCCATCGGATCTTGAGAACAGTTGAAGAAGGTCTTCACTGACAACTACATGGCTACGTGTACTCGGCCAGACACCAAGCATGATCTGAATCGTTTCTATCAGAAACTGTTTGAGCTCCTCCGTAGCTACATCAGATGATTTTCCGAGATGAGGAATTCTATTCCCAACATCACGGAAGCAGAAGTTATCACCGCCTTTGTCAGAGGACTCCATCACTGTGACCTTTGCTCCAAATTCAATCGTAAGCCACCAAAGGGGATTAGCGAGATGATCACGACCGCCGATCAGTATGCTGACGATGAAGAGGCCGAAGTTCGCTTCAATGAGGATATGGGCCTCACCGCCCAACTCGCCGCAGTGACGAGTGCCCCGACGAACAACACCAAAGTGACCGCAGCTACGACGATCGTGGCCACCATCAGGACAGTGGTCGTGATAGGCCAGAGGGGTTCAAAGCCGGTCAATATCGTCGCCATCGACCAGACCACATCGTCGCACCGTTGATGAACCTCGCACCAAGCATAACTACGATGAGCAGTAGTAAGAAAACCCTTGAAGGCCTATGCCCCCTCCACAAGAATAGCAAGCATAAGATGAAGGACTGCCTTGGCTTGGCTAAGGAATTCCAGGGCAAAAAGAAGGACGACGACAACGACGGTGGAGCCAGAGATCACCGACCACCTGGGGACAACAACAATGCCTTCTAGGACCATGACAAAGTGGTCGCCACTATCTTTGAGGGCCTCGCCGCCACCGAGAGCAGAAGAGATCAAAAGCTCATCGCTCGCCGGGTGCTCGCCGTCAGCACAGAGGACGCTTTCACCAACCCCAGCTATCGCCCCTGGTCTGAGGTCCCCATCACCTTCAACAGGGCTGACCAGTGGGTGGACATCCCTTACACAGGATGTTTCCCCCTCGTTCTCGATGCAACCGTCAAGAAAGTACTCTTCAAGAAAGTACTCATCGATGGCGGAAGTGCACTGAACCTCCTCTTTGCTAGAGCCCTAAAGGAGCTGGGCCTTGGAATAGAAGACCTCACTCCCTTCATCTCCTCCTTCTGGGGTGTGGTACCTGGCAGGGCATCCAAACCGGTTGGAGAGATCACCCTCCTGGTACAATTCGGCATGGCTAGCAACTTCCGTGTCGAGCACATCAACTTCTACGTCACCGACTTCAACACCGCCTACCACGCCATACTTGGTCGGCCAGCTCTGGCCAAGTTCATGGCCATACCACACTACGCCTATCTGGTATTGAAGATGCCTTCGCCTGCAGGAGTTCTGGCTTTGCGGGCTAACCTCTCCATCGCCTACACCTACGAAACAGAGAGTCTCTCCCTCGCCGAAGCCACTGACTTCTCCATCTAGATGGCCAGCATGGTCAACAACGCCAAGATGGTGCTCGCCGATGACCTAGAGATCCCAGCGCTGGAGCCACCTCGCGCCTCCGCTAAGTCTAAGGAAATGAAGGAGGTCGGCCTCGGCCTCGATGACCCCACCAAGACCGTCAAGATTGGGGCTCATCTCTACCCCAAATAGGAAAGCACACTTGTCTCCTTCCTATGTGCCAATGCCGACGTGTTTGCTTGGAAACCTACAGACATGCTGGGGGTACCACGGGAGAAGATAGAGCACTCCTTGAATGTCTTGTCGGCCACCAAATCGATCAAGCAGAAACTCCGACGATTCACGCCAGACAAGAAGGAGGCTATTAGGGTAGAAATAAAATGGCTCCTAGCAGCCAGATTTATTAAAGAAGTGTATCATCCTAAGTGGCTGACAAACCCGGTCCTTGTTCAAAAGAAGAATAAAGAATGGAGAATGTGCGTTGATTACACTGATCTCAACAAACATTGCCCTAAAGACCCCTTCGGTCTGCCTCGGATAGACGAGGTTGTAGACTCCACCGCTAGCTATGAACTCCTCTCCTTCCTCGACTATTACTCCGGCTATCACTAAATATCCCTCAAAGAGGATGACCAGATCAAAACATCGTTCATCATGCCTTTCGATGCGTATTGCTACACCACCATGTCTTTCGGACTCAAAAACGCCGGGGCGACCTACCAAAGGGCCATCCAGATGTGCCTTGACCAACTCATAGGCTGTAACGTCGAAGCTTACATCGACGATATGGTTGTCAACTCCAAAACCACCGGCAATCTCATCGCCGACCTCGAAGAAACGTTCGCCAACCTAAAAAGATACAGATGGAAGTTGAACCCTTCAAAGTGCATCTTTGGAGTTCTATCCGGCATACTCCTGGGCTACATCATCAGCGCCCGCGGTATCGAACCCAACCCCGACAAGGTCTCCACCATTACCAATATGAAACGGCCAACCTGCATAAAGGATATACAGAAACTCACAGGGTGCATGACTGCTCTCAGCCGCTTTATATCACGCCTCGGCGAAAAGGGACTACCGTTCTTCAAACTACTCAAGGACTCCGAGCGCTTTTCCTGGTCAGAGGAGGCTGATACGGCCTTTGAGCAGCTCAAGTTGTTTCTAACGAAGCCTCCGATCATGACGGCGCCCCAACCAGACGAAACCCTATTGATCTACATCACCGCCACTTC